GTTTTTTGGCTGAGGAATGATGTAAGGTGGTCCATTCACCTTCTTTTTATCTTCTTTTTATGTGTACTAATTGCTATTAGCTTCTCTCTTATGAGTGCTTTTGCAGTGTCCCACAGATTATGTCCTTAATTCTATGAATCTTTTGATTTCAGTCTTTATTCCTTCAGTAGTTGTGAAGTCATTCAGGAATAGGTTATTTAGTTCCATGTATTTGTGTATTTTTGAGGATTTTTCTTGAAATTATATCACGTTTAATTCCCTCATGGTCAGAGAAGATGCTGGATATAGTTTCTATGTATTTGAATCTGTAGAGGCTTGCTTTGTACCCTATGATGTAGTCAATCTTTGAAAAGGCTCCATGTGGGGGTGAAAAAAAAGTGTATCTACTGGTTTTTGGAGGGAAAGTTCTATAGATGTCTGTTAAGTCCACTTGATTTACGGTATCTTTTAGATCCTTTATCTCTTTATCTATTTTTTGTCTAGATGATCTGTCCAGAGGGGAGAGTGCAGTGTCAAGGTCTCCAACAATTAGTGTGTTGCAGTCTATCTCCCCTTTTAGATCTAACAGTCTTTCCTTCACATATTTGGGTGCACCTGTGTTAGATGCATAGATATTTAAAAGTCTTATATCTTCTTGATCTATTGACCCTTCTACTACAATATAGTGCCCTTCTTTGTCTCCTCAAACAGTTTTTGTTTTAAAGCTTATTTTGCCAGAAATTAGTATCACAGCTTGAGCTCTTTTTTGGTTCCCATTTGTGTGGAAAACCTTTTCCCCGCCCTTCACTGTCAGTCTATGTATGTCTTTATCCATGAAGTGGGTTTCCTATAGGCAACAGATAGAAATAGAGGGTTTCTGTTCTGGGCTTTTTTTTTTTTTTTTTCCATTCAGCTAGTCTATGTCTCTTGATTGAACAATTTAATCCACTAACATTCAATGTTATTATCGGTGTTTCCGGACCTGTCCCGACATTTAAGTTGCCATTGCCTTGGTTGCCTTTTATTCCTTTGTTTCTGGCTGTTCATTCTTTAGTTTTCCTGGAACAATACTTTCTTCAGGGTTTCTTGGAGAGCTGGTCTGGTGCTGGCAAATTCCTTCCAGTTTTGTTTGTCTGAGAAGATTTTAATCTTTTTTTCTCATATGAAGGATAATCTTGCAGGATATCATAATCTTGGTTTAAATTGTTTCTCTCTTAACACTCTCAATGTGTCTTCCTATTCTTTCCTTGCTTGCATTGTTTCCATTGAGAAGTCTGGTGTTAGCCTGATGAGATGGCCTTTGTAAGTCACTTCTCGTTTATCTCTTGCCAGTTTTAGTATTATGTCTTTATCTGTGGTCTTGGACAGTCTAAGATGTTCCTTGGGGAAGATCTTCTTGGGTTGATTCTATTTAGGGTCCTTTGTATTTCTTGGGTCTGGATGTTTGAGTGCTTCTCTAGAATTGGGAAATTTTCTTCCAGTATTTCATGGAATAGATTCTCCATGCTTTTATTAGTTTCTTCACCTTCTGGGATACCAGTTATTCGGATGTTAGGGTGTCTAATGGAATCTAGTATTTCTTGCATATTGTCCTCGTGGTTTTTTTTGTTGTTGTTGTTGTTGTTATTATTTTCTCTATCTTTTTGGTAGTTTTATCTATGTCAGAGGCTTTATCTTCTACATCAGAGATTAGATCTTCAGCATAGTCCAATCGCCCCTTTTTTGTTTTTTTTTTTGGAGAGGTTTTTGCTATAGGGTGCATACGCTTGCCAGACAGACAGAGAGAGACAGAGAGACAGAAAGCGAGAAATCATCTCCCAGGGGGACGGCCACGCCACAATCTCTTCTTATCCGTTCTCCTCTCGGGGTCTTGGGCACGCACGCACACGCGCCTGGCACGAGTTTTAAGCCACCAGGCCCGGGACGCGAACTGCGGTCGACTACATGGGAGTCCAGCAACATAGCCATTATGCTAACTGCTGGTCCCTAATCGACTTTTAATACTCTCCGGAGAGTTTTTGATTTCCTGTATTATAGACTTCATCTCTAGTAGTTGCATCTGGTTTTTTTCTTAGTGTGTCCATTTCTTCTTTCATATTGTGGAAGGACTTCCTAATCTTCTGTAGTTCATTGTCTCTCTTCTGTTCCAACTCATAGAATTTGTTCACCATGAATGTTCTAAATTCTTCCTCTGACATTTTGGTAAAGTCCTTTGTTTTTTCGAGAAATGGAAGGGCGTCACTGTGTTGTTTTGATGAAAACATATTTCCTGGTTTATTCAGACCTGAGGCTTTTCTACTTCTAGCCATTAGGAGATGTATTCACTTTGGAATACCTTTTAGCAGAATGTTTCTTTGAATAGGAGCAAGTGTGTTGCCCTTTTGCTGTGGACTGAAGACTACTGAAGTCTCTCTTCTGTTGTGTTTAACAATGTGGTCCAATGAGTATTCTATTCAGGTGTCTGAATTAAAGTATCTCCTTTTCTCAGGTGGTTCAGTAAAAGGGAAGATCCCAGAGAGTCTTACAATACTAGAATATTTCAGAACTGTAATTCTAGACCTATCTAGACCATCTAGGAGGGCAGAGGAAGAGTTAGAGAGGACCAAATAAGAAGGAAGAAAGTAAGAAGGAGAATAAAGAAAAAGGTGATTTCACCAGGGCTCTGGAGATGGAAGTGGGGTCTGCTGTAGAGCTGAGGGCAGTCCTGTGTGGTAAGGAGAAGTGTGAAATTTACAAATGAAAGAAGAGGAGAAGGAAAAAAAATCCCTACCTTGTTGACAGAGATAGAGGTCTCTGGGCTTAGGGGTGCCAGGTCTGGAGCTGGGTCAGGAGGCCCTGCCTCAGTGTCCCTTAGGCTAGGGATCTGGAGATGGAAGTGGGGTCTGCTATAGAGCTGTGGGTGGTCCTGGCTGACAGAGATAGGGTCTCTGGGCTTGGGGGTGCCAGGGCTGAACCTGGAGCAGGGGGACCTGCCTCAGTTGTACCTATCTTATAAAAGGTATCATTTTATATAATGTTCAGAACATGAACTTTGGAACCAGGTAGATTGGATTTGGCTGAACACAACTAAACCTCCGTTTCTGTATGTATGAAGGGAATAATTATAGCAACACATGAGTGACAGGATTGTCATAAATTAAATGAGATACCTACTTCTGCATATGGCATAGTTCCTTATAATAGCATTGTTTGCTAATATGCATTGAACATTTACCTTGTGTAGTCCAGTGCTACGTACTCTACAAACAACATCTCATTTAATTTTTCCAACCACTTGAAATAGTTTTGATTTATTTTGAAAAAATAAAACTGAAGAAGCTTTTTTATATTCTCATTGTAAAAGTTGACAGATCTAGAATTTGAACCTTTATTACTTTTTGTTCAAATCTTATTTTCTCATTCATACTCCATTTTGATTGATAACCAGAATTTGTATTTACTGAACTTTGTCTACCCCAGTCTCAAGTGCAGTGAACTATACTTTGGTCCTCTAGGAACTGTTTGAGGTAGTGATTGTGCAATAACTCTGACCATGTGGACACTGTCTTTCCAGGTTTCTTGGAGTCTCCACACAGTCCTGGACCAGACCCCATAGTGAAGGCTGCAAGATCTTCCTTCCAACCCCAGCAGTTCTGGCCAATTCCGCTGACTTTACCAGACTTCAGACTTCTGGAAAGAGCAGAATTGTCAGCAAGAGAGCCTCAGGGCCAAGTTCCCACCACCAAAATATGCCAGCTAATGAGGACTCTCCCCAGATGGTGGGATATACCAACTCCTGTGAGGTGAGAAGGGCAGGAATTCCCAAGGGCAGTAATTCATCTAGAACTTCGGAGCCTGAAGGAAAGATAGTATCTCATTGTTAATTGTATGCATGTTATGTTTTTTGTCACCTGGCAGGATAATTTTCTCCCACTATTTTCTTTTGTTACTATTGTAGTATTATAATTTGCACTCCCACATTTTATTGGTCATTAATTTCCTTTTTGTAAATTACTGTAACTTATGAAATTTTAAAGAGGTTTTAAAAAATAAAAATTGATTAATTCCTTCTGTGAGAGAGAGACAGAGACAAGTACTCCCCCCAAATGAGACACATGGCACTCCACCCCATCCTCAGTCAACCCAGATGACTGGCTGGCATGTGCATCTGGCAAGTGAAGCTGGGATCTTCCCATGTAGGTCTAGTTGTATTACTACTGCCTGGAAGTTGTTTTTATTTTTATTTTTTTTTTAATCTTTTTTTAATTTTGGGGAATATTTTTGTCACTTTTTAGTTTGTAATTAGTTTTTTTTTGGAGAAGTTTTTGCCATAGGGCACGTGCGCTCACCAGACAGACAGAGAGAGACAGAGAGACAGAAAGTGAGAAATCACCCCCCGGGGGGGGATGGCCACGCCGCAATCCCTTCTCCTCCATTCTTCTCTTGGGATCTTGGGCACACACGCACACGCGCCCGGTGTAAGTTTTAAGCCACCGGGTCCGGGACGCAAACCGCGGTTGACTACGTGGGAGTCCAGCGACATAGCCATTACGCCAACTGCTGGTTCCCAGTTTGTAATTAGTTTTTAGTTTTGTTCACAAGTATTGAGTTGTCAGAAATGTTGTGACTCATTTTTGCATAGAAAAACAGAAAAATACATCATGACTTTTCCGATGACCCAATAGTAAAAGATATCAAATTCTCTAAGTCTTATTAAAAAGAATCCCTCTTCCTTGCTTTGTTTTCCCCCAGATTCCAGCTCTCCAGACACAAGTTCTCTCTCTCTCTTTTTTAGAGAGAGAGGGGGAAAGTAAGAAATCACCTCCCAGGGGTATGGCTATACTGCAGTCACTTCTCCATTCTGTTTTTGGGACTTTAGGCATGTATGCACATGCATCTGGCATGATTTTCAAGCCACCGGGTTCCAGACTCAAACTGTAGTCAGCCATGTGGGAGTCGAGTGCCTTAACCACCATGCCACCTGCTGACCTCGAGACAAGTACTAGTAATTTCTTTACTATTTCTTTTTTTGAGAGAGTTTTGCTATAGGGTGTGTTTGCTGGAGAGACAGAGAGGGACAGAGAGACAGAAGGCGAGAAATCACCCCCTGGGGAGATGGACATGCTGTAATCCATTTTCCTCTTGGGTTTTTGGGCATGCACACACATGTGCCTGGCGTGATTTTCAAACCTCCGGGTCTGGGACTCAAACCGTCATTGTCCATACGGGAGTCCAGTGCTTTAACCACTACACCATCTGCTGACCTCTCTTTACTATTTTTTAAATTTTGGAACATTATCTATTAATTTTCCACTATAGAAGATAGTGAGTTAACTTTTCTATAGAACCCACTCACATGTGCATTTCCTTTAACCCCATCCTCTTATGGTAGATATGTCCATGTTTTGGTGAGATTCACAGTCAGAGTTTCTTACTGTGATGATTTTTAGTTGACTCTTATAGAATCCATGGTGTAATTACCATTTCTACACAACTTTTCTTTTCCTTGGAATTAAGAATTTTCTAGTTTAACCAGTTGTTTGGTTTACTGTATCTGAGGGTACTTAAAAATGGTTTTTGGAATAAATGGAATTAAAAATAAAAGTTTGTTTTAGTGAAAAAAAAATCCATGTAGTTTTTCAAAAATTTGGAATTCCAGGGACCAGAAGTTTGCATAATGGCTATATTGCTGAACTCCCATGCAGTTGACTGTGGTTCGAATTCTGGACCCAGTGGTTTAAACTCACGCCAGGGACGTGCACGCGCACGCCCAAGATCCCAAGATGAAGATGGAGGAGAAGGGATTGGGGCGTGGCCATCCCCTCCCCCCCCCCCCCCCGGGGCGGGGTCTCTGTCTCTCTCTGTCTTTCTGGTGAGCGCACTCCCCCATAGCAGTAAACCTCTCTCCCCCCACAAAAAAAATTTGTACTTCCCATGAACTTTTGAAGACCCTTCATTGATATCAGTAATTCAACTCTAAATTCTTCCTATATGTTTACATCTGCTCTCCACATATTCAGACAGATTAGATAATAATCATAGTGATTATATAATAATTACAAGCACTAATACAGTGATTGCTATATGTCCACCATTGTCACATATCCTCTGTGTGTATTAATACATCTTCACAACAACACTGCGAAGTAGGTACCATTAGTATCTCTTGTTTTATAGAAGGGAAAGCTGTGACCTAGAGGAAAAACTATCTGACCACAATTCACATAGTTTGTAATAGGTGAGGCTGGTCTCAACTCTGGGTATCAATATCTTCTCCTTGAAGAAATCTTTGTGGAGCTTGTTGACTTGAAGTCCAGACTGGTTGCTCTCTCATGCTGTTATGGTGGTGTCTGGTGGCACCACCCCCCAGGAAATCCCCTTCATCTTTGTCTCATGTCAGATTGCCCATTTCCAAGAGCATGTGCCTTCCTCTTTCTTGGTTTACTCCCTTAATTTGTGGGGATACATCCTCCTTCCTTGACAACGGATCCATAATAGGTACATTTTATGAAATGTTGCATATCTAAAATGTCATGAAAAAATATATTTAATGCATATAACTACATGTCTATTTATAGAAATACACAGAATTATACTATGGAAATATATTTATTTGATAATTACATTAAATTTGTCTTTGGCTGAGTATAGAATTCTAGGTTGGAAATCATTGTTGTGCAGTATTTTAAAAGCCTGCTATTAAAGTCTTCCTAGCTCACATTTTCTCTGCTTTTCAAAATACTCTTCATATTTGGCTATCAATTCTCCATTTTGTTTTTCATCTTTGCTTTACTGATTTCTATTTCTATCTCTTTTGTTTTCCTTTATAGTAGGTATTTTAAAAAACTTTATTGTCCAAATCTTCTTTTATATCATATATATATATATATATATACACACACACATACACACACATATCCATATATATATGTGTGTATATCTATATCTATATCTATCTATCTATCTATATATTTAAAGTTAATTTATTTCTTCTATGAAAAAGAGCAGTATCCCCAACAGGGTCTTTGTGCCACAATCTATGCCCAGACTCAGCTTGCCCAGATCATGAGCATATATGCACAGTGCTTGTTGTACACAGGGAAGTCCTGGAAGGTGAACCCAGGACCTTTCCCATGTGGGTTCAGTTGTGTTACCACTATACTACCACCTACCAATGTTGTTATTAAAGAAAAAAATGACTTCTATTGTTTTTGGATTACTCCCTTTTAATAACATGCTATTCTTGTTTTATGGATGCACAATATATATGACTATGTATCATTATAAATGGAAACTAAAATTACAATTATACCTACAGAAAAGGGAATTCAGAGAAGGGGCCAGATGATGGCACAACAGTAATACAATGATTTGTGATACTGACCCCTCAGAAGATTCCAGGTTCACATCTGGACACCTTCCTCAGTACTCCAGGTACATGTGTGCCCATGATCTAGGGCTGTCTGAATCTGAGGGTAGATTGCAGAATCAAGATCCTCTTGGGTGCTCTCTGTTTCTGTTTTTGTTTCTCTGTCACTTTCTCTTTCACCTTTCTCACTCATGGACAAAAGAAACTTTAAAAAGTGGTAGTCTAGGGTCCAGCAGGTGGCATGAAGTTTAAGGCAGCTGGATCACATATGGCTTACTGAGTGATTTGAGTCCTGGATCTTGTGGCTTGAAACTCATGCCAGGCATGTGTGCATGTATGCCCAAAATCCTGAGAGGAATATAGAGAAGGGATTGTGACATGGTCATACTCTGGGGGAGAGGGGTGACTTCTCACCCCCCTCTGGTGAGTGCATGTGCCCTTTAGCAAAAATGAGGAAAAAAAGAGATAATCTAGAGAAGGTAAGTGCAAGGAAAAGCAGAGAATCCTATGATTCTCTTATTCTTGTGCATTAAAAGGCTATAGATATTGATAGAACTTGTTAGAGAAACATGCATATAATCCTAGTCTTATGTTAGAATGAGTGAGCAGAAGAATAAAAATAGAATGAGGTAATTTCAAATGAGTACTAGGGGAGAACAACAAAATTTGCTCTGCAAAGGAGATTAAACAAAAGCAAAAGAAATATATAAACAGCAGTAATTTATCCTAATGTTACAGAAATTACATGTTATACATGGGTTTAAGTCATTCATTGAAAGAAAAATGTTCTCACATTAGAATGAAAAGTACTCACCAAAACTCTCCCAGATCCAGAATTATTGGGCCATCAGAAAAATCATGACAGGAGAATAGTTTGTTTATAATAAACATTTTCCATAAATTTTTTGAAAAAAAAAAAAGTCATGACATATTTTTCTGTTTCTCTATGCAAAAATGCATCATGAATTTTCTGATGACCTAATAGATTTTGAATGCCTTTATTGATTCCTTTCCTATACGCTCAAACTTTCCTTCCTATTAAAAAATGATATTTCCACTGAGCCCATTGCACTCTTCTCTCCTTATCTTCTCTTTTTCCTGTCTCATCACTTTTCTCCTGTGCTGGCACATTCTCCTAAGCATAAAATATGCAGTAATATTTACTGTTTCAAAACAGCTTCCCTTTACCCCACAAGTCATTTCCAGCCAAGGTATTTTACCAGTGCAGTAACTCACTCCTGCAAATTCACAGACAATATCTGTAGCTCCATATGTGGTTTAATGCCTTCTCCTGTTGGCTAGCTTTTAGGCCAGAGACTTGGTTCCTTGAAAAAGAAGTAGGAGTGGGAGTCACTCCCCTACAGGCCCAGTAGTACAATTCCTCTCTATAGGTCTGGAAGTCTTAAATTATGCCAACCCCCAACCCTCCACTCT